CATAAAGCACACATGAGGGCTTTTCTCCCCCAGTCAACGAGACACGAAGAACTCCCTACAAGGAAAAACACCTGCTGTCCTGGCTCCTCAGCACCTGTCACCCATCTCCCGTCTGCCAGCAGTTTTCCCCTGGGACGTTCTACACACCACATGGAGCCCCTGGGATTGTCACAAGATGGAAGCTTCCGAGATTTGTGGTCCCTGACTTCAGTGACACCTTGTGCCCTCCCAGCCCTGTCTGTGGACACCGCTTGGGTAATGGGTGTGCTGGAGCTGGCGTGGAGGGTAGATGTCTGTCGCCCCACTCTTGCTACCTGTCTGTGCTGCCCTCCTGACCCCCCTACCATCTCACACGCAGGGAATTTTCACATATGTGGACATACACATACAGAGTCGATCCTCCTTACTCAGGGACTCCATATTCCTGATTCACCTGCTTGCTAAAATTTATATCTCTCTCCGCCCCCCCCCCCCAATCAGCACTTGTAACACTGCCATGGTCAATCAAGGGCACGTGTAGAGTGAGGGAAAGAATGTCACCCAATGTGCTCATTTCCAGCTGAGAGAGAACAAAGCCAGACTCTGCCTTCTTGTTTCAACACCCCCTACCGCAAACAAGTGTCCTTTATGCAAGTCTACATAGTACCATGTTTTCCTCACTTGGGGGCCTTTTGTCGATTTCCCGATTTCAAGTGGCTCAAACAGTGCCCACGTGCTGTCTAGTGATTCTGAGGGCAAGAAGGCTGTGATGTCCCCTACAGAGAAGGTGCGGGTTCAGGCATACGCTGTAGTGCTATTGACAGTGAATCCAATGTTAACTGATCAATTATATACATTAAATAAGGTGTCTTCAATAATTCATTAATTAACAATAAAACAGAATTATATATCGATTGGCTGATGAAAATGTTATGACAAGAGACTCAGAGGAAACTAACCCTGCATCTTCTTTAGGAGCCACGGTTCAGGATTCGCTAATTTGGTGTGTGGTGCAGCTTTGTAGACATAATGTGAATAGTGAGTTCGGGCTGCATCTGACGTCACAGAAATCCGACATGTATCGTGTCCTCGATATAGTCGGGCGTGGTGGCCCTGTTCCAGTGATAATGAAGGACATTGCCCAGCATCCTCTGCTCACCTGAATTCCCAACCTCAATCTCTGGAGCCCAAAATGAAGAGACTTACACATTTCTCCTTTCATCTCTGATTTTTTGTTTGTCCCGATTTGTTGGGAAGTGCAGGAACATGGCAGGTCTCTAACACTTGTTTTGTTCAATTTTGTTTTTATAATTTACAAGTGTCCCAAGGCTGACGTTAAGCCCAAGGACATGCACTGTTTGGGCTGTGCAGTGTTTATGAGACTTCTAAATTGGTTACATTTGGAAATCCAAAGATTTCACATAAAATGCTGAGAGGACCGTGCATGTACCTCTCCCTCCCACCTCCTTGTTACCGATCTCCCAGTCCAGCACCTTGTAAGTCTCTGAGCAACCGCAAAAATCAGTAGCTGCCCCCCATCACCGAGTGTAGATCTGTCCTCGTCATTCTCAGTCCCGACAGAGTGGAAGAGCTAATGAACTGCTTGGCCCTCTGGCTTTTGGGGAGTTCTCCCTCCAGTATGGTCTTCCTGGAACTTCCCTGATGGGGTTGATATGCTGCAGTAAACCACCCCCAGTTGGCTCTTCCGTGTTGTGCAAGACCATCCATAAAGCACACAAGGGTTTTCTCCCCCAGTCAACGAGACACGAAGAACTCCCCACAAGGAAAAAGAGGCAACATAGCCAGCACACGTGTCAGCCTCTGAACCACGTGCTTGTGCAACTCGCTTGTGCGTTCTGTACCTGCTGGGGGCCAGAGATACAGATGCAACCCCACCTGATGATGAAGCAGATACACTCACCCCAACTTGCTGGGTCAGGTAGCACCATGTCCATAATGGAAAGTTTGGGTTCTAGGCATTAGAATACTGAATCTTGAGTGTCTCTCAACTGGAAATAGCCTCTTTTTTTTTTTTTTTTGGCTGGAGATAACCTCTTTTCCCTACTTGTTTCGCTGTTCTCCACCTCCAGGCATACCCATGCCTCAGCTCCAAGGATGAATCTTGGCTGAACAGAAAAAGATGGATGAAGCCACAGCTCAATCTCTGAGACTGAGTATCAAGTCACCCTTGACATCCATTTGAGTCAGGACACATCCACGTTCATGTGCATCTGGTATCCGAGTCTGAGCCGTTGACAGAATGTCTGTGTGGATGGCTGGGGGTTCCATTTGCCTCCTCTGCCTGCCTTACTTATCTTACCAGCTGTCCCACCCCCACCACCTCTTGCCAGAGGCCCTTTTGACAGAACTCCTGAATTCCTGCTTAGCTGTTCAGTCTGATGCCCTGTCCTGCAATGTATTTTTTAATTCTTTGTCATAGGTTTAGAGGATCATAGAAAAGTTGCAAAATTGTGAAGAGTTCCCATATGCCCTTCGGGCATGGTGGCCCTGTTCCAGTGATAATGGACTCCAACCTGGGGACTCTTCATGCAATTGTCAAACCAGGAAATCAACACTAAACTATAGATCTTGTGAAATTATACCAGTTTTTCCTCAAACGTCCTTTTACAGTCCAGGATCCCATATTGTGTTTAATTTGTTGTGTCCTTCGTCTCCTCCAGCTTATGACAGATCCTCAGTCTTGTCTTTCATGACCTCCAACACAGGCCCCCGCCGATGAACACGCTTCAGCCTCTGTCCTCACTATAGCTGAATACCCTGTTTCCTTCCCCTTATCTACCATGTGAACTCCTAATCAGTACTCCAGATAGTATTATTTAGGCACGTAAGGCTAAGCCTCAGTGCCTCAACATAATAGCAATTCACTCTCACTTACTCGAGTCCTGTGTGGATGTTCCCGGTTGGGTGGCTCTCCTGAGCTCTCCTCCACGTGGTAGGGACATCTTAGGACACTGCTGTCCCCACCTCGTGGCCTCTAAGATCAGCACAGAAAAGAAGAAAGAGGAGAAGTATGTGTGGAAGGTTTCGTTGTTTCTTTAAATAGCACAAGCCACACAGGCTCGCATCATTGCTGCCCATGTTACATTGGTCAGAGCGAATCCAGATGCAGGAGAGAGGGAAATGCCGTTTCCTGTATCCCAGGAGGGAAATGAGGCAGGGTATTCAAGTTAGACCATTGTCTCCGCTGCTGGCCACCCTTTTGGTCATCAAACAGCTTTCTTTTTCTTCCCACATGCTACAGCTTGCTCACACTCTTCCCGAGAGAGAACGTGCACACCCGTTCAGTAACAGTAGCCAACTCCGGGCCCAGGATCTCTGAATGGATCTGGCCTCTCCGTGAAGAACAGGGGCAGCGCTTTTGGTCTGGTCTCCTGTGACCTGAGGGATACTTGATTTGTCACTGGTTTCCCTGATATCCAATCAATAGTGGTGGATCGGGGCCGGGGAACTGCATGGACCCCTCCCTCTTGGAAAAAGGAAGTAGGGAAGTCTCATACCCATCACTAGCCCATAGATGTACTTTAGTCCTGCAGGACGGGTGTGGTGATTTTCTCTGCTCTGGATGCTGAGACCCCACAGTGACAGACCTCACCTTCTGGGGCTCCTCCTTGCTTCTTATTTTGCAAGGCCACGTAAGAATGGGCTTCGGGGAGTGCATTCTCCTGTTGGCAACACAACTTTGGGAGCTCACTTCCTGTTTAGCAAAGACTGGGGCCTCAAAGTTTATTAAGTCCCAAACAATTGAAGGATTTTTTGGGTCCCGACTCATGGTATTCTTGGCAGTGCAGTCGTCTCAAAAACATAGTGACTTCTGATCTATTTGTACCAGTAACCATACCCCTTTCTTGGATGTCATTCTGCAACCTACTTCATTTCCCTGCCTCCTCACTGCTGTGAATCTGTCTCTCAACTTAACAGCAGCTGTCTGAGGCCACCGGGGTGAGTGGGAGGTCCGTGCGCTTACTCACACGTTGACCCTGGGTCACTTTATGGACTTAGAAAGTTCACCAGCACTTAACGAGTTCAAATTATTTTTTATTCCCATACTTACTGGTTGGGGACTAGAAGCAGGTTACCTTTTGCAACCCTACAAGGCCCTGAATTTCTGGACCCTATTACCTTTCATTTTCTGCTTACAAAACAGCCAATTACTTCCTGAGCTCATCTTTCTTATATTGCCTTTCCAAACAGATCCACTTCCAATTAAAACACCTTTCTAATATTCCATTTTCCAAGGACTCCTCCTATGAGCCTGCAGTGATGGGGTCTGCCTTCCAAGTCCCCGCAGACAGCCATCTTGCCATGTTTTGTCAATACATAGCATCGATGTTCGGCCACCAGCGAGCCATGTGTCTTCCTCGCCTCCTGCCCAACTGCTAAGAAAATGGCCACATAGTTGTTACAGTAGCAACTTCCTGCAAGATACCACTTTCCATAGCATTCAATAAATCATGCTAGTTGTTGCAAACAACCCCCAATTCCAGTGGCTCCACAAAATAAATTCATTTCCCACCTTCCCCATATCCACTGAGGATTTTCCAGGTAGGGCACCCTCCTTCAGACAATGACTCAGTGATCCAGAGCCTTCCATCTTGGGATGCTGCTGTTTCCAGTATGGGGCTCCAACTTGCCACAGGAGAAGAGAGGAAAGGATCAGGTGTCCAAGATATTTTATGGGCCAGCCTGGATGTGTCATACATCACATCTGCCTGCATTCCGCCAGTTGGAATTAGTCTTATGGCCTCAGGTACAAAGGGATGGTTAAGGTCATCCACCTGGGTGTCCAGGAAGATAATTAAATGGTTGAAAATAATTAGAATTATTTCTGGCACAAAGACTGGCCCGAAATGTCACCTGATATCTCTGCAGAATCAGGCATTTCCCTTCCACTGACACTGTGTCTTGTACATAATTTGCACCTGCCACTTTGATTAAAAATTATTTTATTGTCTGTAGACTCGCCAGGTAAGGAGTGCCTTGAGGTTAAGAACTGTCCCGTAGTGCTCGCTTCGGCAGCGCATGTACTAAAACAGGAATGACACAGAGAAGATGAGCGAGGCCCCATGCAAGGATGACATGCAAATTCGTGAAGCGTTCCGTGTTAAAAAGAAAGAAAGAAAGAAAGAAAGAAAGAAAGAAAGAAAGAAAGAAAGAAAGAAAGAAAGAAAGGAAAGAAATGTCCTGTATACATCTCCGTAGCACCTGAGCCTGGCACACGCAGGTGCTGAGTGCTTGTCAAGAGAACGAGGAGACCAGAGGGAGGCCAGGCTAGGAGAAAATGTTGAGAGGCTGTTCCTCCTTGTAGAGCAGGATGGGGTTTCTCTAGTAGAAAGGGAAAAATTGGAGGCTATCATAAGACATATTTTCTAATAAAAATGAATGTAATGGGAAAAATTGGAGGCTATCATAAGACATATTTTCTAATAAAAATGAATGTAATATCATGTTCTTTTTTATTTATTTAAGTGGGCAACTTGTTTCCCCTTCTCTTTCTTGGCATTCACTTGGTAATTTTGCATTTCCCAACGGATTAGCCTCAACACAATGAAAGCTCCCAGTAGAGGCTATTATTTATATTTCTTTGAATAGTATCTCTTGTCCTGAACTAAATTGTTACTTATAATATGGAAAAGAAAAAAAAAAAGCCCATAAGATACGCTACTGGACGTTCTCAGGATTCAAGTTGCCACTCAGTATTGGAGGGGAGTCTGTCCCCTGGAGATTTAGGACTGTGCCCCAAGACTTCTCTATTTAAGGAGCTCAAGGTAGAAAACCTTCCTAGTCAGGCAGAACGGAGTCCAATTAACTGATTGAAATACACAGAAATATGGAAGAATAGCCCATTTGTTTGCTTTAATCTAAGAAACAAAGGGCCCCTGATGAGGCTGCACAAAGGGATTCTGACCATCATCTCAAATGTCTCTTGCTCCTAAGCTGGGGTGTGTGAATGAGGAGAAGGAAGCTTCTCAGGGTCCTGGTCTGTCATCCAGGGAGCCCATCACCAGGAAGAATGTGCCAGGAGCTGATGGGTGGTGGCTGTGTTGGGGCATCACATTTAGGGGACGCCCTCAGAGGTGTGAAGAGTACAGGCTAGTATTTCTCTAAACAGTCTTCTAGCAGGTGCAAGTGTCTTGTTCTGAAACAATCAGCACGTTGTGACAATTTTCTGACAGGTAGATGTGAAGTGTCTTGAAGACGGGCCCCTTTTTATAACTTGCCCCAAAGTGCCACCTGAGCTAGCTGCGGCCACGTGGGACGTCCCACCTCCCCTTAACTCTCCCTCCACAGTGTCTGGTTTGCAGAAGGGACTAGCTGTGCAAATGGGTGGCACACTCGTCCTGGAATCGACTCCTGGGAAGCTGGCCCCTGGTTGGAGTTCACACACCTGCCTTTGAGAAGTCTGTCCAGCACGAGGGCTCTCTGAAGAGCTCACGGAGTCACCTGGCCGCTTTCCTGGCCGCCTTTAACAGAAGGGCACTGGAACACAGCCCCATGAAAATCAGAGCATCAGAAATTGAGTGGACAGTAGGGTTCCCATCTACCTTTCTCTCCCCGGACATGGTTTCCCTAATATTAACATCTTCCGTTAGCATGCTGCATTTGGAATAATTGGAGATTTTAATAATACAGTAATAATTCAAATAGAGTGAAATATAAATAGCATTTAAATTGAATAAAATAGATTAATATTTAAATGACAAATAAAAAGAAATGATTATAATGAAATAATAATATTATTATAATAATACATTATTCTTTTTTTTTTTTTAAGATTTTATTTATTTATTTGACAGAGAGAGAGACACAGCGAGAGAAGGAACACAAGCAGGGGGAGTGGGAGTGAGAGAAGGAGGCTTCCCGCGGAGCAGGTAACCCAATGCGGGGCTCGATCCCAGGACCCTGGGATCATGACCTGAGCCGAAGGCGGATGCTTAACCACTGAGCCACCCAGGCGCCCCAATAATACATTATTCTTAACTGAAGTCCATGATTTACATTAGTGGTCACTCTTGGTGTTGTAACCTGTATGGGTTTGACAAATGCATAATGATGTATCCATCATTCTAGTACCGTACAGAGTAGTTTCCCTGTCCTAAAAATCCTTTGTGCTCCACCTGTTCATCCCTTCCCCTGACCCCAACCCCTGGCAACCTCTGATCTTTTTACTGTCTTCATAGTTCTGCCGCATCCAGAATGTCATGTAGTTGGGATCATATAGCATGTGGCCTTTTCGGATTGGCTCCTTTCACTGAGCGATATGCCTTCAAGTTTCTTCCTGGTCTGTTTGCGGCTTCATAGCTCATTTCTTTTTAGCTCGGAATAATACCACACTGTCTGGATGGGCCACGGTTTCTTTATCCACTCGCCTATTGGAAGACATCTTGGTTGCGTCTAAGTTTTGGCAATTGTAAGTAAAGCTGCTATGGACATTCGTGTGCAGGCTTTCGTGTGGACATAAATAAATGTTCAACTCATTTCAATCAGGTGAGTACACATGTCGGATCGTTTGGTTAAAAGTGAGTTTAATTCTGTAAGAAACTGTCACGCTGCCTCCCAAAGTGATCACGTTGCCTTCCCCCCAGCGATGTACAAGAGTTCCTTCTGCTCCACATCCTTGCCAGCATTTGGAGTCGTCAGTGTTCTGGACTTGACTACTCTAATAGGGGTGTAGTGGCATCTCGTGGTGGTTTTAATTGGCGATTCCCTGATGACATATGATATGGAGCATTTTTTCATATGCCTGTTACCAGGTGTTTTTTCCTTCATGGGCCTAATGCAGACATTTCTTCCTCCAAGCAGAAAGAACTGGTTTATTGTTATGAGGGAAATACGTTTCTAGACTGGTTGGGCTAAACATTCCCTTAACACATCTTTCGAAAGTGACGGAGAAGGATACTAGTACCAAGTATCATTTCCTTTTTTAGATGTTTTCAAATTAGACAATCAGCGCTAAAATAGGGAATAATTGGGGCCCTCCTTAGGGGGTCCTGGTTGGGGATGGAGCTTTCTCAGCCACATGGATCCTTGGGGAACAGATTTTGCTGCTTTGCAATGGAAGGAAAGTAACCAATCCAGACTGTTGAATACTTGGCAAAGAGTAAGATACTAATAGATTTGAGATGTTTCTACATTCCTGCCTCCCACATATGTAATTTAGGCCAGGCCAGCTGGATTTTAAGAGAGAAAGAAAAGCATTATCTCTCTGACAGAACCAGCTTGCTTTTAATTCTATCAAACAGAAGAAGTTTAGTGTCTGAGCTTGCTCCCGCATATTCTCCATAGGCCGCTACTTCCTAGGACAGCAACACTGAAGACCACCCTATCAGCTACAGTGAGGGACGCACAGAGGGGTGGCCCTGTCCTCACCGTCATGGGGGACAGTAATAACATGCAGACATCAGCAGGGATGGCGAACGTCTACAGATAAGAACATGACAGCCGGGAGTATCGGTGTCCAGCTTGACTATGACACTTGGCTGGTGCAATCTCTAGTTGGACATTGGTCATTGACACTGTGTGCTCTCAGGTGCACCCCCTGACGTGGGACAGCCTGACAGCTGAGTGGCTGTTGGTCCACCATCCTTAATGGGATCCCACAACAGTCCGTGTGCAGGCAGCACTGGTCCTAGAGACTTCGATTATTTTCCTCCTCAAGCACTGGGAATTAATGAACCCTTAGCCTTCTGAAATTTCTCTTTAACTCATTATGCCCAGGAATCCAGGCCCGACTCTTCCTAGCGCACCTGGACTTGTGCAGCGTGAACCATGAGCTTCTTGCTCCTCAGCCCCATCCTGGCCGAGCTCTGAGGAGCATCGCTCTGAGATGCAAGATGGGGAAGTGACACGTCTTTTCACGTCGTCTGGGGTTCATGTCTGACCCAAGGACCCTTCACTGATGGTGCTTTTCAATCAGCTCTGAGCATCACACAAAGTTTTCCCAAATATTCTCTTCAGAGCATAGAGTTTCAACAATCTCAGTCATTCTTTCTTCACCAGCTCTTTTGTAGATAATGAAGAAGCCATTCTTCCAGTGTGATCCATAAAGCAACCCGGTTTCCAGCATCCTCCTAAACGAAATGTCAAGTTAGAGAGGTACTCTGGCAAAGGGTCGACCAACGGCAGGACTCTTCTCCTACTGGGAGGCCTGCATCAGGCTTCGGAGGATGTGGGTTCCACCTTCCCCTTCTGCCACTCGGGGCAGAAACAATGCTCATTACAGGACTAGTGCATGGATGGTGTGGACGTCTGGTCTCCCTGAGACCCTTCCTCAAGCATCTATGCTCCAGGCCAGGTGGGCAGTCTCGTCTCCTCCCTGGTGGGAGAAGGAGGCCCACCATCCTTCCAGAATGCAGGTGAAAGGTGTCTAAGCCTTCATGCTCTGCCCCACAGACGGATACCTGTCTTTTTGCCCACAGATGTCTAGACACACCCCTGCGGAGGGATTTTGTACTGCTCCATTAGATATCTGTTCATTTTATAGAAAAACTGACTGCTTTAGCAGAACCAGGCATTGAAGAAATAACAATATAATATTTTGTTTATATATTTGACTGTGTTGAGGCTTTTATAAATGAAAGGTGAACACTGAAATAGTATCCTTGAATTCCTTTAGTCAACAGGGATAAAAATATGACTTTCCAGCCCCATTTTCTTCAAGGAAAAGGGGAGAATGTCATTAAAAAAAAAAAAAAAAAGCCCCAGGAAAGCGGTCTACTTCCAGCAATGTCTCTGCTGGAGCAGTTGACTGACGGTGTTCATTAGATCCTAGCACCCCGCGGTGAGGCCCCGGGAGTCCAGGGAAGCGGTTCTGCTGACTTAGCATTCTGTTTATCTTCTTCTGACACATTGGGTGTTGAAATGACCCAAAACAAAGGGGCGCCTGGGTGGCTCAGTCGGTTAAGCATCTGCCTTTTCAGCTCAGGTCATGATTCCGGGGTCCTGGGATCGAGCCCCACATTGGGCTCCCTGCTACGCCGGAAGCCTGCTTCTCCCTCTCCTGCTTCCCCTGCTTGTGTTCTCTCTCTCGCTGTGTCTCTCTCTGTCAAATAAATAAATTAAATCTTAAAAAAAAAAAAAAGAAATGACCCAGAACAGCTAGAGCAGGG